TTTTTTTTTTTTTTTTTTTTTTTTTTTTTTTTTTTTTTTTTTTTTTTTTTTTTTTTTTTTTTTTTTTTTTTTTTTTTTTTTTTTTTTTTTTCGGGATATTCAAGGTTTATGATAGAGCTTACGTGAGGATGACCAGACCACCTTTCTTACTGTACCATGTCAGTTACTGCTTTTGTTATATATGGCCCTGCTGATTCCTCCTCATATCAATTAGCAATATCATTATACCCCTCATATATATTCCCATAGCTGATATAGCTTCAAATAAAATCCGCATTTGATTAAACACTAGCACTGCTAGCTATGAATTTGACCCAAATGGCTGCAAATGCAAGACCGGACTGAACCTGGACACTTTGAAACACTGAACACCAGCAGTGGTCTACAATCTCAATGATATAACACAAAAAAAAAAAAAAAAAAAAAAAAAAAAAAAAAAAAAAAAAAAAAAAAAAAAAAAAAAAAAAAAAAAAAAAAAAAAAAATGAAACGCGAAATCGCCATGAAGAGAAAATGGATACAACGAGAAAGGGAGATAGTATGAACAACCATGTGGGAATCATATGCTTTAGGAAAAGAAAAGGTTGAGAAGGATGATAGCGAAGGATTTCAGTCAAGTTCAGGGATTCTGTTTCGATAGCGCTGCTGCAAGGCGCTTGTAGTCGTCCAACAAAACAGATACGTCGGCGATGGTGAGCTCATTGGCGTTCTGCAACTGGAGGAAACGCTGAATAGGCGGGTCGACCCGCTCTACCCGGGGTGGAGCGCTGAGGACGCTTGATGAGGATGTCTCGCGGGAGAGGATCGAGGCCCTGATTCTCTCGGTGGGAGTGTTGGGTGATGGCATCGGACCGGGAGTGTCAGGAGTTCCAGGGGCACCACGTCCAAAGTTGCGGATCATACCGGGTATGTGGTTAAGTGGGTTGAGGGTGTTTCCAAAGTTCCGCACCGATTCAAGCGGTGTAGGCGCCTGGGAGGATGCGCTTGCTGGGGAAGCCTGGGGCTCTTCCTTCTGCGGGCCTTGAGAGACTGTTGTCTTCCTGGAGCTGCCCTGAGTCCGAACACTCTCGACACTCCTGTCACGTGGAGTTCTCTGGCCGCTGACCAGCCCTAGGAATGTATCCTCTGCCTTCGATCCGATGCGCCTTAATTGTGGGCGATCAATGGGACGAGACTCTCTTCCTGTGTTTTCGTCCTGGTTCAGGCTATGCTCCGTAGATATAGGGTTGGTGACCAGACGTCGAGCATCTGCCAACGTCTTCGGCAGGACCGGATTCCCATCTTTGACAGGGAACTGGTTGGACTGCAACTCTTTGAGGCGGCCAAACAGAAAGTTGAAGCTGCTGTCTAAGGATGCCCCAATGTTCTTGAGGCCCTGGTCGGCAGTGTTACGAACAGCATCATTAGCAGCGCCGAGCACCTTAGCAGGGGGCTGAAAGAGATTGTTCAGCCGCCGTTGTTGAGTGCTCGCCGATGACTGAGGCCTGAGCAAGCTATCCGAAGCTTCTTGACCAGCTGGCTTCGAGAGTTCAGGTGAGGCTGTCACCGGTGTAACCGACGATACTGCTGCTTCCTTGATGGTAGTAGGAGACGGAAGAGAGTCGATCTTGCCGGCCGCAGTTGAATCATCATTGGACGCCTTGGTCTGGCCTTCAAAGGCTTCCTCGCCGCGCAATTCGGACAGATCTACATTCTCAAGAAAGCTAATAGCCGCTTCCAGGTTAGTCAAGCAATATGCGGTTTCACCGTCTATCTTATTTGACGACCTAAACCGTTGAATGAATTGTAGATTGCTTATAACGTTGATCCCCTCAGGAGGGCAAGTGATCAAGGAATAGATCAGAGTGGGTAGTATCTCGTCAGCGGAAGAAGATGATGGCAGGAGCTTAGTCAAGGCATCAACTATCGCCTTGTGCGCGGCGGCAAGTTGCTGCAGTTTGCCCAAAGGATACTTGTCATCGTTCATCTTTGCCAAGCAGTCTCGTGCAGCAGAAAGGCATTCATCTGCTTCTTTCTGTTTCCCTTCATCAATAGCACTTAGGTCGATTTCGACGCCGAGATCCTTCAGATTAATACCAACTACAGAGAGAGCCGCGGTCTTTGAACGCAATTTCTCGTCCCTGATTTCATCCAGTGTGCTTTTATGCCTCCATAGCTTGTCGTAGATAGTCTCACAAGCTCTCCGTTCCACAGCTTCTTCCAAAGCAACACGCTTGGTTGCAAGATGCTTTCGCGCAATCCTCCTTTCTGTAACTTCTGATGCTGTCAACATTTGACGGCCATCTGAACCTGTATTACTAGACTTGCCCTGCGCCGCACGGTACGGGGAAGGGTCACGATTTATCCGGGAAGCAAGAGCAGAGATGTGAGTAGCTATGTGTGATTCTGCTCGGACGTAGAATTCTTGGAACCGGCTCGATACTTTCTCGATTGTAGGAGGAGAGGAATGTACCTTGGCAGTAAGAGAGTGGACAAATCTGCCAATATTTAAATCAGCAACACATTACCGGGTGGCGAGAGTAGAGGCCCGACTGTACCTATCTGTCATACTTGCGAGCTCTATAGGTAGTTCTTCCGTGTGACCCAAGCTACCTCGAGAGAGCACCGAGGTCTCCTCACCCTGCTGCGCATCGTCCCCCAAGTCGGCAGAGCCTGGCTTCTCGAACAGGTCAGGACTGCTATTCCGGTCCTCCTCGGCCGTGGACAAGGGTAACGGGAGTGCTTCAGCGTCTACCGACTCTGGTATTGCCACGGACTGAACAGTCTTGGCTCTGGAACGAACGAAAGGGCTGGTCTCGGGAGTGTCCATCCTTGGGAACGAGCGGGCCGTGTGTAGGCGCGGCTTTGCAGCGCCATCGTCGGCAGGATTGGCAGACATGGTTATATTAAGAGAAGTAACAACGAGGTATCAGTGCGACAAATGCTCGGCTTTCAGCTGCTCATATGATCGGCTCATACGAATGCAGTTGTATGGAGCCGGTGCGTATAGATGACACCTGGAACTTTAATCTGGCAACCCCAACCGAACGGACGGGTCAGGGGGGGGAGGTCAAGAACTAGATCTGGTTGGGATTAGTTGTCCAAGCCACACATCATGAGCAAACTGCCTCGCAGGCCAGGCTTCAAAGGCGACAGAAATGCAAGAAGAGGAGAGGGAAGTCAACAATCAATACCGTAGTGGCTCATGATTGCGCGGCGGAGTAAGCGTCGGAGAAACCCAAAAGCGGCGGACGTCACGCGCCAATCACGTGTGGCAGTCACGCTTTCTCCGCAATCGGGATTCCCAGATGCGGCTTGTCACGATAAGTGATCTTCGCCTAGCTTGGAGTTTGTTTCTCCTGTATACCCGAGCGAATGTACGAAGCGGTCCGAGTTCCGTCAGACAAAAAAAGGGACTTCTTTGGCGCAACAATCATAATCCATCATTTACATTTGTGAGGGTGTCAAGACAAGCATGAGTGAACGAGGCGTCAATTGAGAGTAAATAGGTATCATATCTATCTAACATTCATCATGCGAGGATGACTATGCACGTGGAGCAAGGAACAAGGGCTAAATAAGACAAGGTGAAGAGTATAGTTTACAGACGAGCAGACTTGGAGTGGTCAGCCTTGGCCTCGGTAGCCTTCTCGATGCGGGCACCCAGATCGGGGTTCACACGATGGAACATGCCGTAGGTGGCCTTGCGAACACGCTCGTGGGCGGCGCACAAGTGAGAGGAAACATTGTGGACGAAGTTGTCTTGCTGGCCGGGCTGGCGACCCAAGACCTGCCAAAGACCGTTGGCCTGAACGTAATCCTCATCGGTGACGGGCAGCTGCTCAACAACGACGGAGCCGGCCCACTTCTCGTGCTCCTGGCTAGCCTTCACGGGCTGGTAGTTGTAAGGACGGAAGGTGGAGGGATAATTGGGGTTGGCTCCGTAGTTACCCTGCACGTTCATGTAGCCATCACGGTGCCAGGGGCTGAACGAGCGGAGCGGGCAGTTGACGGGGATCTGCTCGTAGTTGCCGCTCAGACGGTGGCGCTGGGTGTCGGGGTAGGAGAAGAGGCGGGACTGCAGGACTGGGTCGGCAGAGGGCTCCACGCCCGGAACCATGTGCGAGGGAGAGAAGGCGGCCTGCTCAACCTCGGCGAAGTAGTTCTCGGGGTTCTTGTTGAGAGTGAGCTTGCCGAAGCGGCGCAGAGGGACCTCACTCTGAGGCCAGACCTTGGTCAGGTCAAAGACGCTCCAGCGGAACTTCTCGGCCTGCTCAGGGCTCAGGACCTGGACATAGCAGGTCCATGAGGGGTTCTCGCCACGCGAAATAGCGTCGAACAAGTCCTGGGTGTGCCAGTCGGGGTTCTCAGCCGCCAGGCGAGTGGCCTCCTCGTTGTTGAAGGTCTTGTTGCCCTGGTCGGTCTTGAGGTGGATCTGGACGTAGTTGAAGGTGCCGTCGGGCTTGATCCACTTGTAAGTGTGGCCGGAGTAGCCGTTCATGTGGCGGTAAGAGTAAGGCGTGCCACGGTCACTGAAGAGGTGCATGACCTGGTGGATGGCCTCCTGGTGGGTGGAAAGGTAGTCCCAGAACATGGTGGCATCCTTGAGGTTGGTCTGGGGATTGCGCTTCTGGGTGTGGATGAAGATGGGGAACTTGGCGGGGTCACGGAGGAAGAAGACGGGGGTGTTGTTGAAGACCCAGTCCCAGTTACCCTCTTCAGTGTAGAACTTGATAGCGAAGCCACGAGGATCACGCGCGCTGTCCGGAGAGCCCTTCTCACCACCGACGGTGGAGAAGCGAGTGAACAGCTTGGTCTTCTTGCCAATGCCCTTGAGCATGTCGATGACGGTGATGTCGCTAATGTCATCGGTAACCTCGAACTCACCAAAGGCGCCAGCACCCTTGGCGTGAACAACACGCTCTGGGATTCTCTCTCTGTCGAAGTGTGCGAGAAGGTCGATCAGGTGGAAGTCCTGGAGCAGAAGGGGTCCGTTGCGACCAACGCGCTGAGCAGCCTGGGGGTCCATAACCTGAATGTGTCAGCCTTGTATCCGTATTTTTAATTTCGGCGTAGCATACTGGGCAGCCATTGGAGGTAGTGTAGATTGGCTTCTCATTGTAGCGGTAGGTCTCTATAAGACAAATCCAAGTTAGTCTTCATTTCACGCTTCAGAACGAACGGAAAGCCAGAGAAGTATAGACATACTGGGTTGATCGTCCTTGCCCATGGTGACGGTTTGTGATGTGAGCTAATTGAGATTATTGGAGGAGTAGTGAATTGAAGACGGAGACAAGCCGGGGAGAGGAAGACGTTGTCTGGCGGGCTAAGATAGCTTAATGCGGGGTTCTAGTCGATGAAAGACCTAGCAGTAGTTCGTTGATACGGACAAGGAATTCCTTGGGAGGGATGCGGGGAGGAAAAAAAGGCCACGGAGTGAGGTTTTGATGGAAGAAGAAGTAATTGCAAGAACTGAAGCAGCAGCAGCAAGGGAAGAAGAGATTATAAGGAAAAGACCAGACGATCCATTGAAAGATTTGAAGGCGGGTGGCTCGTCGCCGAGGGAGGCAGATGGGGAACCCCGTGCCGCAGCAGCCAATGATGATGCCGGGGAAGGTCAACGCGGTGGTTCCACGGAACCGCCTGCCTCGATCAGTCCCGCTGCCTGTCCGATTTCCCGCCGGTTCAGGTACTACTTACTACTTACTTCGTGACCTTGAGCAATTGATAGTTGAGCTCCCTCATAAAAGCTCATGCCAGCCTGAAGCTCTCTCGATCCTACTGGCAGCAAGGGGAAGTACCCAGAAATTCATTCACATATTGACTTTCTCGGAAGCACCAGAACAAACAAAAATCACCCAAAGGAGCTTTCCGATACGCTAATTTACCCCGCACAATTGCACCAATCCGCCAGGGGTGTCCACCAATCAGCACCATCTCGATGTCAGAATGTCGACCAAGTCTAGAAATTCCCCGCGTTTCTCCTTTGGAAAGGACATTGACTAATACTAATCATGTTGAGGATAATGCGGAGGATGGCTATGTTCTAGATATCTACTAAGATAAGTGGTGTGGTGTAGATGGATCCTCAACGCGTAACCACCTAGACGAGTACTGAAACGGCCCGAGGTGGGCATGGCAAGTTCCGACAGTCTGCAAAATGCGCTAAGAATCGAGGTTAGCTTATCCGCTAATTATTTAGTTAGCTGTGGTGGTCTGATAAATCAACCTTAGTCAACGGACCTGGCCAGAAGTTCTTTGCCTTTCTGCAGACCGCCAGCCCTGCAGGTACTACTACTGGTAGTCCGTCTGGACCTTCCGCGATCCCCATCTTAGAAGTGCTATCCGGGCGTAATTCCTGCCTCTTTGGGAAAATGGCTGGCTTTGATTTGCTAATTTTCCGTAAGGGGAAGGCAACCTTGTTTGGCCTTCCTAATCAGGTGATGAGATGCTTTGAGCTGCTGTTCGTTCTCAGTTACCTAATAAAGTTATTGAATGAGTTCTCCCTGATAAAAGTAGTAAGATGTGATCGTGGGGAGTAAAGCGATGATGTTAGGTAGCTTCGAATCCCGCACATTCTTCGGAACATAAGTTTCCCTGAATTACTCTCCGCTCTGAAACTGTCGATTCATCACCGTACAAAATACATGATACAATTGGCCGAGGTAGCCATCCGCCTATTTCGAGCACCAAATACGGCTATGATAGTCGGCTTCTTCAGCCGATGTAATGCTCACCCGGTTCTTTGACACTGCGAAAAGTGATATCTCTACCGACAGCTACGTCAGATGCCACGGGGACTTCCCCGCGGAAAGCTCCGCCCTCCGAAGCGGAGCGAGATTCTCCTAGTGGAGTAGAATCCGAGCGGCAGATGCCTCGGAATACCCTCCCGCTCGGTTCCGATCGCGTTCAGGCTTTATGCTTCATGTTCCATACTCATTGTCAAAACGTCAATTTGTTTTACAAGCACGCAACTCATATAGATACAATCCAATCAGTCATTGCAAGCCATATCCAATGGAGCGAAAAGAATGTTAACATCCGCCGATTTTATTACAAAGCATATTCATCAAGTCATGTCATTATCAGTCGGACCTCGCCGCCATCCTTACTTGCGCTCAGCATTCGCACCTGATCTGTCGCCATTGATGCTGCTGAGGATATCTCCAGTCGACTGTCCGACGCCCCGGGTGGTGTTGCCCAGGCCTTCAGTAGCACCGCCGACAGTCTTGCCTAGACCCTGGGTTGCGCCGCCGACAGTCTGTCCGAGTCCACCCACAGTGCTTCCGACGGTGTCTCCGAGTCCGCCCACGGTCTTTCCTAGGGTATCACCGAGACCTCCAACGAGGTTGGCTATATACTTACGTATTAGCAACGGGTGTACATGGCATCGAGGTGTGTTGGGATTTGGTACCCAGGGGTGCGAGAACTTCAGAACGCGACCGACTAGTTAAGTCAAAGCACAAACAAGGCGAGAATAGAACATAAGAACAGTGGGTGCGAAGGCCGATATCACTTACGGTTGTCGTTGTTATCGTTGCCAGAAGACATGGTTTCAGTATCGTGCGAGGCAAACTAATCTTCAGCGGAAATAATTCGGAAGAAAGATGATTTTGTCTTTTGAAGGGTCAAGATGATTTTTAAACCAAGCTGATCTTGCAGATGAATCGAACTAATTGCCAGCTGTTGCGACAAGTTTTCCTTTTTATATACAAGGTACACAGCACAAGTATCCAATATTCAAAGTCGCCACGGGACGCTCCATCCCCCTATGATATCATCGTGTCCTGAAACCAAGATGGTACCACAACCCGCAACCAATGAACCCGGGAAATCGAAGATTTGATGGATGCAGCTGATGACGCTCATCCGCAAGATGATGAAATAAGGCCCTGGCAGTTATGACAGTGGCGCGGCGACCCCTAGTCTGCGATGCTGGTTGCAATGCCTATTGGCTGTTGTGGGCACCCGCATACGTAGGGAATAGGCGAGTTAATATTGATACTTCAACAACACGAGGCCAGATCGCCCTAACCAGATCGAGGGGTTAGGCAGCCATGGGGATTATCTTCCAGCCAACCTGGACTTTTAGACTCATTTACGCAGCAACCCTTGACCAAGCAGGTTTGATTCGGGCAGTTGCAGTATTGGGACCCATTCCTTCACTCTGGTCCACGCTGGTCGGGATGACTAGTGCTGACCGGTGACAACCAGTAGAGAGATGGTCCGTCAGCTCGTCGATTGATGGGATCAGCTTGGATTGACATTGCACAACATAGCCGTCAACCATCTGTAACTTACGTACGAGCAGAAGAAAGTCACCAATACCAACTTGAAGCAAATAACACCTTAACATCCTCTCTCATAACATGTCCTCCTCACCCTCTACTTCAAAACCCCTGTCACCATCTCCGCCCTCAGAGGCCTATTCCAACCTAGGACAATGTGGACTAGGACACTCAGGCCCATGGCGCTGCAAGCAACATACCAAGGCAACCTCATAATGTGATCCAGCGTTTGCCGAATACCTCCTAGTATTGTACATAGTCATTACCGCAGTACTGTATGTTTGAGTGTGTCAGATTGGGTCTGTATAGATGCATCTAGTATAGAGAAGGTACCTCAATCTAGACTCACGTGATTTATCTATGGCGCAATTTCACTCTTGGTCCAGTCAGTCAGGGGCTGCAAGCGATCATCAGCAACTATCATGAACTGGAACGCAATCTTTTTCTAGGGATGAATGAATCTATCGAGATAATTGCACCCACAACAACGGCGTCGTCCATGACAGAAGTCACAACCGACGAACAGCACGCGGCCAGTGTCTCGGGCAATGCAGACAATAATGAATTAGCCGGTTCTACAGGCAGGCCGGCTACTACCTTCGACGCGATAACCGATCGTGTCAGCTTGCGTGGAGAATCCGAGTATCCAAGCGGAGCAAAATTCTGGCTCCTCATGCTCACCCTGGCTGCTGTCCTGATTTTAAGCAGCATAGACATGAACATTGTCGCGACAGCCGTGCCTAGCATTACTGACTATTTCCACACTGTTGCAGATGTCGGGTGGTATTCCTCTGCGTTCAGGCTCTGCCAGTGCTCCTTTCAGTTTGTTTTTGGCAAGGCATACAAGCTCTTCTCTATCAAGGCCGTCTTTTTGCTTGCCAATGCCATTTCTATAGCAGGTTCGCTGCTCTGCGGGGCAGCCAGTACGTCGACCATGCTCGTCGTTGGTCGGGCCGTAGCTGGACTAGGATCTGCCGGTCTTCTTTCAGGGTGCTTTGTTATCCTCGTGCAATCGATGCCTTTACACAAACGACCTATGTTCACCGGCATGATGGGTGCCGTCGAAGGCCTGGCTACGCTATCCGCACCACTTCTCGGCGGAGCCATTGTGCAGTCTGTTGGCTGGCGATGGTGTTTTTACATCAACGCACCTCTTGGTGCTGCTACACTGGTATTAACAATGTGTTGTTTCTCAGATCCGCCGAAACCCAGCGACATTTCCCGCATGGGACTTAAGCAGAAGCTCATGCAACTCGACCTGATAAGCAACCTACTGTTCATCCCAGCGCTGACAGCCCTCTTCCTGGCCTTTTCATGGGCCGGTACCAAGTATTCCTGGGGCAGTGGCCCAGTGATAGGCCCTATTATTGCCTTTGCCGTCCTCATGGCCGCCTTTATCTACAATCAGAAACGACGAGGAGACGCCGCCGCTCTCCCTTTCCGCATTATGAAACGCCGCAGCGTTATCGCCGGATGCATATTTATCATGTGCGGTAATAGCACCGGCAACGTTCTCGAATATTATTTACCTACTTATTATCAAGTCGTACGTGGATATACTCCCGCCAAAAGCGGCTACATGATGCTCCCTATCATCATCGCCGGCACCATTGGCGCACTCATCCATGGCTTCGGGACCAGCGCCACTGGCTACTACGCACCGTTCATGCTTTTCGCCTCAATCATAATGCCCGTCGCCGCGGGCCTCATCACCACTATCAAAATCAACACTAGCTTTGCAGAACTGATCACATACACCGCCTTCTCTGGCCTGGCCTACGGTATCGGCTTCTCTGGACCGCAGAACGCTGTCCAAACGGTGTTACCCGTGGAGGACGTGCCGCTTGGCACATCTATCATGCTATTCTCCCAGTCTTTTGGACCAGCAGTGGCGATCGCAATTGCTCAGGTCCTATTCGTAAATCAGCTCTCGATGAATCTAAGTGGTCTCGTGTCAGGCTTGAATGGAGCAAGGATCGAAAACACTGGCCTAACACAAATCGTGACGAGCATGCCACCATCCAAGGCTCGAGAAGCCCTCGTAGCTATCGATAAAAGCCTGATACGGACGTGGTACCTGGTGGTGGGACTTGCATGCGCAACGATGGTTGGGAGCTTGATGATAGAATGGCGGTCGGTGAAATCGAGACGCGACTAGTAGTAGAATAAAGCAGCAATACCTTACATGACGCCAATTATAAATAATCCGTTACACTCCCTTCTCACTCTCCTCATCAATCACTAAAAAAGCAGGCCTCCCCTCATCCCCAACCCTCCCCACCTCTAACAACACCCTCCAAACCCAAACCCCCAAATCCACCTCTCGAAACGCCCTCCCAAACCACTCCTTCCCACTCCTCGCAATCTCCCCCGCCCTCTTCCTCCCCTCCTCACTCGACGTAAAATACCTCACCACCTCCGGCATCTCCTCCATCCCCAAACTAACCGGGATATAATGCACCCACGGCCACAGCCTCTCATCATGCCACTCCCTAAACAGCGTCTGCTTTATAGGCGCAGAATTCGACGCCAGGAGGCTATAAAACCTCCCGCTGATTCCATTCCCATCGAGATCGAATACCAAGCGCGATTGTAGGCCCTGGTCTTTGTCGGCCCAGGAGTGCGGGTGGAAGTAGCGGCGTTGGGCGCGGCAGGGGTTGGCATCGCAGTTGAAGATGCGGGTGAATGAGATGGTGTAGAGGCGGGTGTTGAGGAAGGTGGATTTGTGGGTTGTTATTGGGGTGTCTTTGTTTGTATCTTTCCCTTTCTTGTGCTCGTTTTGGTGAAGGTATGTGTAGGTGTGGTGGTGGTTTGAAGGGTTTGCGAGTAGGTTCACGAAGCGTTGGCGGTGGAAGTTGTGCCAGTTGCTGTCTTTGTTGGTATTTGTTGCGAAGGCGCCGGTGGTAGAGCCGGCCCAGTACAACGTGTTTTGCTTCTGGGACCAGGAGATGTCTTTTTCGGGTGTGTATTGAAAGTCGGGTTGTAGGTAGGCCGGGCTGGGGTAGAGGATGTCGGTCATGGTGGAGAGGGAGCCCGGGGAGAGGATCGGGAGGAGACCGGTTATGGGTCGGAAGGAGGTTGGGCTGAGGAAGATGCCGTGCATTGTGCTGTATTCCGTGTGGAGGCAGAGGTTTTTTGCTTGTGTTGGATCGGTGATGAATGGGAGGTTGGGGGCTTGGGATGGTGGTTGTTGGTTTTGAGTCTGGGTTCTATTGGTATGGTAAAGGCAGGGAGCTGATATAGTGTCCCATGTTGGTTGTCTGGACTGGTCCTTTATGCTTGGACTGCTGTGGATATTGTCTGGTGGTGGGTATATCACTCTTGGCTCATCGAGATGATTGACTAGGAAGGTAATGTCAGGTAGAGTTGCGGGTATATTCTCGAGTAAGGTATCGAATGTATGTTGAATATCCCGATCAAGCACGCGGAAATCATGCGAGCATTTTGTTTTGCGTGAGCTGCCAAAGAACGTACACGTCCAAAGGTCGTTTCCCGGCAGGTTGCGCGCGTTTTTAATGTTTTCGTTGATCTCTTTGCCACTCAACTTCAACATCGGTAGTATACTGTTGTATATAGCATCGTAATCGTCAATTATCGGCGACTGATGAGCAGATGCATATTGGTACCACTCCTCAAATCCTGGTGGCGGCTCGATCTTGTATCGCCGTCGGTACTCATCGCATGCAGCTATGTATGTGCGAGATTGCTTATGGATGGTTGCTTCGAATTCGAGTCTGGCGTTATCCATTATCTCTGCGATGGGGTGGTCTTGGACGATTGCGTTGTTCCAGATATATATGGTCCATATGTTTGCGATGTATGGGATTAATGTTGCCAGACCAAATACCCACAGGATCCATCGACTCTTTAGATTACTCGGAAGCACTTGGGTGATTTGAGCAAGCACAAGCAAGGAGGCGACAACATTTAGGAATGCTTTGAGGTCTGACGATTGGTTGAACGGGCTGTTGGCAGATAGAAGACTGAACGTTTCTACTAAGACAGCTGTGCTCCAGGAAGTATAGCAAATCTTAATTAGAGTCAGTACTGTACCGTATACGATGGGTCTCTGGAGCTTACAGTCTGGATAGTGAAGAAATAGGCAAAGGTCTTAAACAAGCCCAAAGCAAATATGCTAAGGGGATGACCCCCGGAATACCCGAATATAATTATCTCCGCCACGACCGTCGCTGCCAACATCGGTAGAATTCTGGCAGCGAGGTGAAACGATGTAAGTTCGGCATCTATACAGTTGGGTAACGATCGTCCATTGTGAGACAAGATAACGAGTATAATGCCCAGGATACAAGCCAAGGGGATTAATGAGAGACCCCATTCAAGGTTCGAGGAGGATGCGAGGCTGAACGTTCCCAGTAATGAGACGACAATAGATCCGTATAATGTTTCTGTTAGAAAGAAGAAAGACCTCTTTTCTATCAAACTGTGTATACGGAACCTGAACACCTTTCCTGCTATCAGCAGTAATGGAAATAGAATTGGCTGATGTCACATCAGCCATATGTTTTCTTGAGGGTGCTCGCCTAACGCACGAAACTTTGAAGGACCCCAATTTCCGCCTTGAACCAAGAATATAGACATACACCTGCAGCAATTAACCATAGGTGTATAGAACGCAGAGAACCATACTTCAGCAGATTAGGATTCTGCTCAATGGGATAAGTTGAACACTGGTGGTATCTAGAACTTAATCTAAATAATATGGGCAGTGTTGCCCATGCCACCATTTCAGAGCCTGTTTCAGTGCACTGTGTGAATGAGTGCTCTGCTATTATTCGCGTGAGCAAGGCAAGAGAAATTATCCCGACTGCTTTGTCCACCTGGACAAACGGATGATTTGCGGACATAGCATAAGTACGCTACGTTAGCAAATCGATCTGCTCCTGTGTGGTTGTTGTTTGCTGTTATGAAGGGATCAAAGGAGAACAAACTGTAACTGTAGAGACAAATGGCATTATTACAAGGTAAATCTGAAAGGGCTGACTACGAAAAGTTCTACATTAGGCACAATAAACCCGAGACACGTAGTGCACTGGTCGGGCTGGCCGAAAAGGAGGGCATTGGCAATATACTTCTGTCAACTTACGCATGCCGATCTTTTCAAGTGTCCAATCGCAATCTTGTAGCCTTACGAGGGATGTTGGTGCTAGAAGATGGAGTAGGTGGCCTAGTTAGGGCACCGAGTAAGCCCGTTCCTTTGTGCTAAATCTCATCATGCCATAGGCTCCAGACAAGGCTGCTAACGTGCGGGGTAAGGCTGAGGTCTGGTCATCTAAGCCCTATCTGGTAATCAGGGTCTTGGGATCGTAGATCATCATTTGACTTTAGTAATAGTTATGCAGGTGTCCGGGCTATACAGCCACAGTAAGATTATAGAAAGATAGCCATAGGATAGTAGCTCGCCCTAGTTGTTACTAATGAAAACCTGAACTTCATATAATAATCAGTAGGTATGCTTAAAATATAGAGATGACGAGAGAAATCATTCTTAAGGAGAATATTTCCGTGAGCTGAACACTTGATGGCTATAAATAGTAAAACCAGGTCCCTGCCAGTAACGATCAGAAGTCGCTTGATTCATCTCGCGGCTCCCAGGAGGAGCAGGAGGAGCGCAACAATGAGCCAGTCATTTGATAGACACCAACTGTGAACACATGGCAACTAACAAAGAGATAACTGTATTGGATATATTATTATACTACTACGTTGTGTTGTAGTGGATTAACCGCCGTGTGACGTAGTATTCTTGTGGAATATATATCCGGCCGCTTTCTGAAGTTACTCGATTCCTTTCTTCTTTTTATCGACACCCAAGATCATCCATATTTCGCTATCTCTATCCCAAACAACACTTCATTTGAGCCTGTCTGGGTTCACCACTCGGAAATGTTAAAATACTACTCCATCTAGACACAGGATCAAATAATCACAATGTTCCCGCACTCATATTCGAGTAACAGCCCTTCAAGACCGATGAAAGTAATAATTAGGCGGAGAGCATGTGGATGTAGATGGAGCAGGGAATATAACTAACTGATGGATATTAACCTACCTATCTTGGGTAACCATGAAATGAAACATGACAGTATTCTTGTTTTCAGGAGATATCATTTTGATGATCTATTGTCTAATGGAGCCGTAAACGTGGATATCTGGCTGAAGTGCTATGGTAATAGTGCCCGTATTGTCTGATATTCAGACAAGTCTGCGCGCTCCTACGCGTACGGAGAGTTCAAAGCCCAAGTGTCTTGATATGATCCGCAATTGGCAGAGACATCCAAGAAGAAACTGAATACTTACTATCTTACAGACTCTGTCATATGTGAGCATCTGTTTGCTAAATCTATTGAGCAAGTCAGTCACCCAGCTGCATGGCCGCAGTAAAGTATGGTATGAGACTGAGATAAAGGAATCGAAAGCCTGGATAATATAATGTTGAGACATTCACTGCAGCCAGGCAGCTGTCAGCTGATCCTTCGCCTTTTCTTCCCGCGTGGTCTCCGACCACCACCTCTTCCAACCACCAACCATCTTCTTGAGATCTAGGTAGATCAAATCCATATATCCTTGACCCTTCGTCTTGACATATAATAACTGAATCGAGCCGTGTTTGAAAACCTACTGTGGTAGTAAATCCCCGCGTCCGCCTCATGGATTGTCTTCTTCCATGCGTATCTGAAACATGGACAGAGCCGCGTATATAGTATCGACCAATTAACCAGGACCATCAGGCCCGTAGGTAATCGGAAGAGGGCTTATCGAACTACAGGGACTAAATCATGATCCTGCAAAATGTGATTGGGTATCTGCATATACGCCATGTGCTCAATGTTGCTGGAATTCATTGGCCAGTGGATAAATTCTTGAATCGGAGGTAGTGCGAGAATCCTTCGCAGCATGATTCATGCATATACGCGCAGACGAGAAAGCCAGGGTGGCCAAGCTTCACCCACTTACCGAGAATCGAAAGAAAAGGAAGAATCGGAGATCCAGGCGGATCCTACGGGATCAAGCTTATCGGAGAATTTTGGCCTGCATTCCTGCCACGAGGCACCTGCAGACGATGCCTCTTAGCGTGCATACTCGAACATCTATACTTTGTGCAGCAATTGACCACACGTTAAATTTTCTTTCTGAGTTGAACCATGATATCCTGTTAACTCTTTTTATTCTTTTTTATCATTTTGCTTCTTGTGGACACCAATTGGCGGAGGGGCAGGCCGTCCCTGTTTTCCCCGCAAACCCCTCGTGTCGGATCCCGGCGTAAATGAGACTTGGCTTGGCCTAGTCGGAGTTTAATCTGCCTGGATATCCATTGTCACACCAGATCTTTTGCAGACCAGATGATTCGAAACTAAGAGAATTATCAAGATCTGACTCGTCATGCCATTGGCAAATGCACGCAGCAAACGACACCAAACCGGTTCCTGCAGTCGGTGGGGGGGCGCGATACTCACCACCGCCGGCCCCGCCGCCAGCATAAAAATCTAACGATGGCCGTCCCACTGCTAATGCGCGCTCCGGTCCGGAACGTCCCTGATTTTCCTGCTGCCCTCCATTGATTATCGGTCAACTCCTCCTCCTCCTCCTCCCTCCTCTTTCCCCCTTCACCTCCTCTTTCCCTCCCTCCTCCCCCCCTTTCACCTTTTTCTCTCCCTCCCCCGGGATTGCCTGCAATTGCTCGCCAGCATGGCTTCCCACAAGGTTCCGGATGCCATTGCCCCGGCAGAGCAGCCGCCATCCCCCTCCTCCGATCGCCAGGATTCCATGGCTTCCGCAGCCAAGATCATCCAGAATGCCAAAGCGGCCACGGATAAGGAGCAGAAGATGACCCTGCTCCAGGGCATCAAGCTCTACCCCAAGGCTGTCGCTTGGAGTATCCTGATCTCCACCTGCATTGTCATGGAAGGTTACGATATCAGTCTCGTCAACAACTTCTACGCTTTCCCTCAATTCAACCGAAAATATGGCGAGTTGTCGGCGGATGGGACATATCAGGTGCCAGCACGGGTAATTGACTCCCTCCCCTCTGTCTCCCTGGGACCTTCCTGCAATTGCACCGTTATCTCGCACGTCATGCAGTGCTCGCGTGACACAATCAGCTAACAAAAGTCTCCTATATAGTGGCAATCGGGTTTGAGTAACGGTGCCTATGTCGGAGAAATTATTGGCCTTTTCATTAATGGCTGGGCTTCGGAACGCTTCGGATATCGTTATACTATCATGGCTTGTCTCGTTTTGATCACAGCGTGGACCGCCATCTTTTTCACCGCCCCGAACGTCCAGGCGCTGCTGGCTGCGGAAATTCTGGCCGGTATTCCCTGGGGAGTGTTTCAGACATTGACCGTCACCTATGCTTCGGAGGTGTGTCCGGTTGCGCTGCGTGGGTACCTCACGACCTATGTCAACTTCTGCTGGGGATTGGGACAATTGATCGGTATCGGTGTGATCAAGGGTATGATTAATAGGGATGACCAATGGGCGTACCGGATCCCCTATGGACTGCAGTGGATGTGGCCCTTGCCCCTCTTCATCGGCATTTCTCTCGCCCCGGAGTCCCCATGGTGGTTGGTCCGGAAGGGCAAGACCCAGCAGGCCAAGAAAGCCCTGCTGCGATTGACGAGCGTGAAGCGGGAGACCAACTTCGACGCCGACGAGACCATTTCGATGATGGTTCATACTACGGCCCTGGAGAACAAGATCACTACAGGGGCCAGCTATCTGGACTGTTTCAAAGGCACCGACCTGCGCCGGACCGAGATCGTCTGCATGGTGTGGGCCATTCAAAACCTCAGTGGCAACTCCTTTTCCAACTACTCGACTTACTTCCTCGAGCAGGCGGGCCTGAGCACCGATAATGCCTACGCATTTGCCATGGGCCAGTACGGAATCAATATGGTCGGCGTCTTCGGAGCCTGGTTCCTCATGTCCATCGGCCTGGGCCGGAGAACGCTCTATCTATACGGTCTCTGCGGACTGTGCGTCATGTTGCTCGTCATGGGATTCCTTGGCTTAGTGCCCGAAGAGCACAAAACCCAGGCTGCCCTGGCTACCGGCTGCATGATGATCATCTGGGCGCTCTTCTACCAATTGACCGTCGGCACAGTCGCCTACTCCCTTGTCGCTGAGCTCTCTACTCGCCGCCTCCAAATCAAGACGGTCGTGCTCGGCCGCAATCTGTACAACATTGTGGCCATCGTCTGCGGTGTCTTGACCCCGTACATGCTGAACCCCGGAGCATGGGACTGGGGCAACTATGCCGGCTTCTTCTGGGGCGGCATCTGCTTCCTCTGCATCGTGTACACGTTCTTCCGGGTGCCGGAACCCAATGGACGGTCGTTCGCGGAGCTCGACCTCCTCTTCGAGCGGGGGGTCAGTGCGCGCAAGTTCGCCCAGACCCAGGTCGATGTGTTTGACGAGACCATGGAGCATGGCACGGTCGATCACTATCAGACGGAGAAGACGGCGGCGGCTGATGTGGCGGCCGTGGGGAAGGAGAATGCGAATCCGACTTCGACTCCACCGCAATGATGAATGACGCCCGCTTGTAATAAAATTATAATATATTAATGTACATAGAGACAGCTAATAATGAATATAGACGATTAATGATGCATTCATTCTCATGCTTACTCAGTCATTAGGTGGGCTTGATGGTTACTACATTGACAATCAATAGGTACCTCACTTCACTATCCAAAGCTTCATCATCTTCCAATCTACTCATTCGACCACTCGGGCTTCTTCTTCTCCGCAAACGCCGTCATGCCTACCACCGTCAGCATCAACTACTTTCCAAAGAAGAAGAAAGGAATACTCACCAATCTTCTGATCCCTACTCCCGAAC